TCAAAATTCCCAAAAGGTGGTATAGATGAAGTTTTATAATACAGATGAAATGGCATTTTAGCCACCATTATGATTTTTGTTATCCTTAGGAGCCATGCTTCTGAGGTTGTATGTCAGCCTTGCAATTTAGCAACACAAATGCTCTTCAGTTCCACACCAGGAGTTACAGGTTAAGCAGAATGCCCTTCAAAGGCCTCAGTAAAGCTTCAATACACACAGTGTCTGCTCTTCCCTGCCCTGACACTGTCACTATATCCCCAACTTCCCAATGACTAAGGGATGCTTCCTAACCAGGGAAGTACATCAGAATCACCTGAGGGTCTATTGTTACTTTTTAAATAGTAATAAAAAGTTAATATATTCACATGGTTAAAAAAATATATTATAGAAGGGCATAAAATCAAAAGCAAACACCTGTTCTTTCTAATCTCATATTTTGTAGAAGCAAACATTTTAAACCTTTCCGGTGTTTGGTTATTCTGATCATTTCCCCCACACTTCTATATAATATGTCTGTTTCTTTTTCTTGCTTTATTAACTTAACCCCATCTGTGACTCCCATTAGAAACATAATGAATCTTTTCACAGTGTTCCCCGCATCCTCTCCTTAATGTTTGCTAGTTATGCTCTTATTTGGAATTCTTCTGCTGATTACCTTCGTAACTCTAATACATTGAATCAGATTTTTTGATTCACCAGCATTAGAGTTTTGTCCCAATACAGTATACTTAGTTTCCTCCTGGGGCTATAGGATGACAGGCCTTAGGAAGGGCACTTTTACAAAAGCTCCCCAGGTGTACTGTGTATTCTCAGATTAAGGACCACCAGCCCCTGAGCCTGCAGTTCTTCAGCCGTTCATTTGCACTTGAATGAAGATGGTAGGCAGAGCATGCTTCTCCCTTCACCCATTCATTAGTCACCTGTTTGACAGTGTGAAATGCACACAGGCACCTAAGCAGCAGGCAGCAACATAGGGATTTAAGAGCCCAGAGAGTGCACAGTCCCCATTTCTATTTTGGATGAGAAATTGTCACTCTGGGAAGAGCAGCACCTGGTGCCCATGCTGGGGGGACAGTAAAAGAGTGTGAGCTCTGGCTGAAGAACTAGAAAAACAAGTGGCTTGTAGATTAATTTCATTCTTACTCAGTAGTCACGGTGTCTAGAACAATCCACTCAACATTCTAGACCATGTTATAAAACAGATCAATTGGCTCAAAGAGCAGTAATTGAACTTCATAGGTAAAATCTCTAATAGAATATAATTAGCGACATAGTGTCCTTAAACAATATTATATAATTAATAGCACAAATAAAGCAGATAAAGAAAAATGCACTAATTATCAAATATTACCTCCCAGGGTACTTTTTAATATTAAAATGGGAAATAAAATTAGAAAATGATTTAATTAAATGTTGTTTAATGCAACTCCTGGGGAAAAAAGTGAGTTGAATTTTCAGGTTAACCGGTAGGCAAAGAGTTAATATCTTTTTTTTTCCCCCTTTTAGTCATGAACATTTTTATATTGGAAGAGCCCATTTTCTTTCATTATGGAGAAATCAAGCCTAGTAACTAGAAGAGACTCATTTCTTAGTGATTAAGAACATTGTACGGTTTAATGTTATCATTCCCAGCATGAAATCTTACGTAGGAGAGAAAATGTCAGCTATTAGATGAACGTAGATTGACCCCAAGTTATTTGCTAATTTTGATTCTTGTAGTTAACGTCCCAGATAGGAGCTTGTGTGATCATTCTTCCTCTATTTCTTTTCTGCAGTTTCAGGGGGGTTTGCTTGGAGGGTGTCATCAGTTTGATTATGTATAACCAAGGCCTGGCTCCACTAATTTTGTAATCAGACATTCTGGTGATGAAGTTGAACAGCATTTATGTTTGAACAAACTCTGCATTTCCTTTGGCCTCTGTTATGTTTGAGATGGAAGCAGTCAGTAAAAAATGCCCGGGAGCTTGTTACAGATTTGCAAGTGACAGAATATGACTGCGGGAGATAATTTCTATTTTGTTCTCTCAATAATTATTTTATGAACAAGATGTACTTTTTAAAGTCTCTAAACAATATGGAAAGTCTCTGAACTGTGTTTTCTGGCTTTTAACCAGCGGTGGAATGGCTGTCCTCTTAGGTGACATAAAATCTTAGAATGCATATTGGTCAGGGAAACCTAATTCTGATTTCACCTTTATCAGTAGATTGCTAGCACCAGGGTGCAAAGTCGTTACCTCTGTATGACTTGTTAACTCTGGCCGTGGGACAAGTTAATCTCAAAAGTTATTTCTAATCTGAGTTTCTCTTTTCGGCCACTTAAAATCTTTCAGTGGCACTGCTGCCTGCTGGTCATATTTCCCCTGGCTAATTGGGAATCTTGAAGAAAGTGTCTGACTTTTATTCATTCACTCAGCAAATATGTACTGAACATCTTCTTTATGCCAGGCATGGTTCTAGATGCTAGAATCTAGGACATACCAGTGAACAAAACAAGAAAAGGTCTCCATCCTCTGGAACTGGCATTCCAATAGAGGAGAGAGGACAGAGGGACAAATGAGTAAATGAGACCATCTCAAATGGAGATAAATGCTCTGGAAAGACTCCAGCAAACACTGAGATGGAAGTGGCTCGATTTTGTATTGGGAACAACTCAGGTTCTCCCAGAAGCAGATCCAAAGGCAAGGATTCAAGTACACGTGGTTTCTTTGGGTGCCAATCCTAGAAACACCAGTGGGGAAGTAGGGAAGTGACATAGGGAAGGGAAGGCAGACAATAAAGGTACATTGTCAAGATACTGGCGCTGCTGGCTGCTGCGGGAGTGCAGTCCCTTGGGGCCCCTCTAGGTGTCAGTGTAGAACATGCCTGTAGTTATGCTCCCAGGAGAGAGGATTCTGGGACATATATCTACTCCCTACCTGTCATTGGTTGGGAGCTGCTCCTGGGTGCTTTAACCCCTCAACAGGTCCAGCTTACCCTGGACATAGGTTAATTGGTATTTGCAGATAGTATATAAAATAGAATAGCAAATAAACAAGATGCAACAGTGTCTACTACAGGGCAAAAACTAGTTTTTTAAAGGGAAGACCTTGCTGAAGAAATGATCTTCTAGCTGAAATCCAAAAGATTTAAAAGAGTCAGCCAGGGAAGTTTTATTTCCAGACAGACAGAAGAGTAAAGGCAAAGGCTGAGAGGGACTGAGTTTGGTTTATAAAATAGAAACACTAAAGAATTGCACAGCTTTAGAGGCACAGTGGGGAGATGATACCTTTGAATCATCATGTCCACTCTTTTACATGATAAAACTAGATGAAATCATGAGAAGTTAAGAGTTGTGGACATGCCACTGGATTCTGAGGCAGAGCTGGGGTCAGCACGCAGGCCTCTGAGGCTTCCCCTGTCCATCACAGGATGCTGCTGCTCCTTCACCCATTTCTCTCATTGGGATTTGGCAGTGACCCCAAGCCAGGAACCTGAACAGGAACAGATTTCATGTTTCCTGCTCAAATTTCTGTAGTGGGTCCCTAATATACATAAAAAAAAATACCCAAGCTCATGCAAGGCTGTGTGTGATCCAGCCTTGGGCTGCTGCCCTGGCCTCGTTTTCCACCCTCTCCTCCTCACTCTCTGTACTAGTCACATCATCCCCCTGCATGTTTCTGGAACAAGCCAAGCTTCCTCCCAGAGCTCACTCTGGTCCCTGTGACAACAGGACCCCCTCTGGCAGCCCATCCATGTCATTCCTTTCACAGCCCGACAGCCCCTCCCCCTCCACTGATCCCACTTTATCTTTCTTCTTAGGACTCACTGGGTGCCATAGAATGAACTCCACTGGACCATTTGATGCTAAATGTTTATTGACTCGTTTGTTTGCCGTCTGCTTTCCCCACTAGAATGTAAGGTCCCTGAGGAAAGGAAATTGATTCATTCACCCTCTTAGAATAGTTGCACGATAGGTACTCAAAAATACTTGCTGGATGATGAATTCATAATTGAGAGAAGAAATGAATTGGCTGACAGAAAAAAACTCACTTCTGGTCCACTCTCTGTCACTAAGTTACTGAAAGATTCTTGCCTGTTAGAGGATTCCGCCACTGTGTCTCAGTTTCTTCATCTGGCAGATGGACATATGATTTGTACCTTATGAAGGGTGAGTGGAATATGAAGAGTTAAAGGTGTGAAAGAACTGTACATTATTGAATCTATTAAGCCAATGCATGGTGTCCTTTAAAGTTGAAGGCTTTCTGAGTTTGTGTGTATTTTACTGAATTGGAAGGAAATCCATCCTCAATAAAGAATCCTCTGTGTATTTTAAAATTGATCAGGCCTCATCAGGTAGAGCAGACCTGGTCTATTGTCCATGAAAGAGCACAGAGAGAGGGAAGAGATCCCAGATCAGAATCCAGCTTCATTCACAAGCTTAGTGGTGACTTTGGGGATCCATAGGAACCTGACCCTGATGAGCTTTAGATACCTCTTCTCTCAAACGTGTGAAGGGTGGGGGTGGCAATGGAAGCAGTTTCCTTCTTAAAGATTGTTTTGTTCCATGCATCTATATCATCATGATAATCCTAGCCATCCCTTGATGACCCTGTCTGCACCACTGATTGATTGCTCATTCTGTACCACCATTTATTGATCACCAAGTCTAAACTACGCATTTGACATGCATCCTCTTATTTCATCTCCCCCAACATGCTTCCCAGCAACCACCCCATTATTCAGATAAGCAAACCAAGTAACTTAATCCAAGGTAGGATAACTAGTGGCTTGTGAGCCAATACTTCAACTCAGGTATGCCGGCTCCTGGGCAAGAACTCCTAACTGCTGTGCAAACATCATGCACAGACAAAGGGATAGCCAAGTTCAGAAGGAAGGCAGACACACTGTCTCTTCATTAAGCCAGTTCCACCTTGGGAAGCAGGATAGAAAAATCCCACGCTTCTGTAACATGGTTAAATTGATTTCACATGTCTGCCTTTTTCCCTTTCCTCCCTCCACAGGGCTTCATGGACATTGACTTAAATAAATTCAAGGAGAGCGGAGCAAACGTGACAGGTTTCCAGTTGGTGAACTACACGGACACTGTCCCGGCCAAGATCATGCAGCAGTGGAAGAGCAGTGATGCTCGGGACCACACCCGGGTGGACTGGAAGAGGCCTAAGGTGCGGGAATCACAGCCTGGTCCCTGAGTCTGCCCCAGATTTGTGGGGCAAGGGAAAAGTTAGCCATTAGAAGATAGTGGGTTTTCTAAAAGGAACAAGCAAAGGAAAATATATCCATAAACATTATTGGGTGTATGGTAAAAGATCAGACAACCCAAAACAATAGTTTTGATAAGAAAGGTAGACATTGAATTTTTCTCTCATGCAAGCAAAATTCAGGAGTCAGCCATCCAGGGCTTGTGTAATGGCCACACGTCATCGGGATTCTTCACCTGTTATGCTACCATGAGGGTGTGGCTGCAGCTCCACAGCCCAATTATCTCATGGCTCCTTGCTTTAAGAATTCTTTAAGAATTCTTTTCAGAAGTCCCATGCAGACCTTTCATTCACATACCAATGGCCACATCTTAGAATACTTCTCTCCCTGCAAGGGAAGCTGGAAAACCCTTTGTCCACTCTGGCAGAAGCACCATGTTGCACAGCTCAGGACGATGCTCATTTTGGGGGAGGATGGAACCTCCTTCAGTTGTGTAGTGAGGTGGCTCTCATTCTGCACAATCCTGAGCCCAGCTAACAATCAGGAAAACATAACTGAGGATTCACCAGCAAATCTCTACTCCTGGGTCCCATTTCAGTTATGAAGCAGGCAAATGCAGCCCTGAGTCCAGCAGCTGAGATCTATTTCATTTATGATTTGAGCATAGTTTAGAATAAAGATAGCAAGTGATTATTTTTCCCCATGTAAAATCAAATAGTTCGGCAGTGGCTATGTGGAATACTGTGTTGAGAAGGATTCTGAGGCCAAATTTTTATTTAGGACAAACAATGAATCCTTGGTGGACTTTTTTCTTACTGCTAGTTTGATTTCTTTTTGTGAATTTCAGGCTGTATAACGGAGATGTTTCTTATCCCACTATTGACCGAACTGATTTAGCTCTTCATCAGTATGAGCTTAAACAAGCAAATCCCCACTGTGCTTATAGCCATGAGTGAACCACACAGGCATTCATTATAAATATGCCACCTAATTTGCAAATGTCATATAAAATTTTAAAGACAGGAATAATAAAAAAGGTTTCAGTCAGCTTTTCACCGTTGTGACCGAAAGACTTGACAAGGTCTTTTGTGATCAAAAGACCTGGAGGAGAAAAAGGTTATTTGGGGCTCATGGTTTCAGGGGTCTCAGATCATAGATGGCCAACTCCATTGCTCTGGACCCAGGGTGAGGCAGAACATCATGGTGTTCTGGGTATGGCAGAGGAAAGAAGCTCAAAACATGAAGCAGAGAGAGACTGAGCTCAGCTCACCAGGGATAAAATACATATCCCAAAGGCACAACCTCAGTGACCTGCCTCCTTCAGCCACCCTACCTGCCTTCAATCACCACCCAGTTAATCCTATCAAGGGATTAATTCACCCATTAGATTAAAACTCTCATAACCCAATCATTTCACCTCTAAACCCTCTTGCACTGTCTCACATATGAGCTTTGGGGGGACTCCTCCTATCTAAACCATAACAGAAATCGATGTTAAAAATTGGAAAAATACTTACACATTCATTCTACAGTTCTCCATCACAACCTCACAGGAGGGGTATTAGGAACAAGAAGACAGATGTGGGTTCCAAAGCCAAGAAATATTTTTTTTTCTCATGCATATCTTAGTCCCCTTTGGGGGGGAAGAATTGAGAACTATCATTAATAAACTCAATGGGAGGTACAGAATATGAACATACCACATGCAGAAATAATTAAGAGTTCACTTGTCTTGGGATCCTTTTTTTCTTTTTCTATTACCAGAGATGGTGGAATAATTCATCCTGGTGCCCACTTGGTGTCTATAATGCAGAGAAAAGAAACTGATTTGCCATGTATTTGGCTGCAAAATGTGTTTTACTTAATGTATGCATTTTCCCCCAACTTAACTGACATCTTAAAAATGTTAAGACTGTACTCAAAAATCTAGACTTCTGACCTCTCTTTGAAAGTCACAACCGGTCATACTGAACCCACAACTCAGGAGGGCAACATTGCTGTTGAGGGGGAGCAGCCGCAGGTGAGGGCAGGCATGCCATGCTCTCTGGGTTCATGGCTGCCTCCCACCTGCACCTGGCACTTTTGGCCCCTGCACAGTTCTCCTCACCAGGAAGCACAGTTCCCGCCCAACTCCCCACCATCTTCCTATCAGCAACCTCTGATACCTGTCCCCATTCTTCCCACCAGTACACCTCTGCTCTCACCTATGATGGGGTGAAGGTGATGGCTGAGGCTTTCCAGAGCCTGCGGAGGCAGAGGATTGACATATCCCGCCGGGGGAATGCTGGTGACTGTTTGGCCAACCCAGCCGTGCCCTGGGGGCAGGGGATTGACATTCAGAGAGCCCTACAGCAGGTGAGTCTGGCTGTGCTTTCTACCTCTCATGGGAGCCCAGTGGGGAGTTCCAGTATCAAATTCAGGCAGAGCAAGCTATTTGAAGGAAAAGGAAGAAGATGCCTGAAGTTTGGAGTAAGCACTCTGTTATTTGTGGCTCTTGGCGTACATGGAAATCCACATCGAAATTTAAAAAAATAATAATAATAATGTAGAATAGTCATTTCTTGTAGTGAAACGGCTTTATTTTCTACTTGAGGATTGTTCTGAAAAAGAAAAGCTGACAATTTCTGTATTTTGGGAGGGGAAATGAAACATAAGGGGTGACACCGAGCTGTGTTGGCAGTCCCCTAGACTCTGTCCTCATTACCTTGGTTTCATGGGGGTCTGCTGCAAGCAGGGACATTGAGAATGCTTCTCAATACTGACCCTGTCTTCTTGCTTCTCTGCATTGTGATCCTCAATTTGGTTTGCACTTGAGAGCAGATAAAGAATAAGAATACAAATGGCCGTGTCCGCTCCATCTGATTGGTGAGGCCAAGGATTCTGAGGCTGAATCCGGATAGCACAGAGAAGAGCATAAATGTGCCATCAGTGACAAGTCTGCCTTGGAAGCAGGGTGTGACAGTGGCATTGTTATGGTGAGACTGCAATTAAATCACCTGGTCATTCTTGAAGTAGGACATGGAACCATCTGTATTCCCCAGCTGGTGGTCCAGATTCACCAACTGGCAGGCCTAGGGGCAGGCTGCAAGTCTACACCCTTCGACCCCTTTAGGGGTTAGAGCACACATTTTAAAGCATATCTGTACATTAATCATAGAGGCTGTTGCTATGATTCAAAACTACAAACAAACATCATGAAATCTAAAATCATAAGCAAAAAGGGAAGTGGGCCAAAACAACCCTAGCTGAGTACAAGCTAAAGAATGGTTACTAATGTCTAGACAAACAGTAACATTCTATGCGGTTGGGGTACATTGCCCAAGTTCAAGTGTATAGATTAAAAGGAACAATGTTGTTTTGCGTTGCCAATCTGCTATGCTTAGCTATTGTTGGTAGGTACAGAGGTGGGGTGTTCCCATGGGAGAAGCATCTCCTACATGACATGGAGTCTCAGGGTAAACTGGAGTCTGTTTGGTCATTGCCCATATAGCCTGGCCCATAATAGCAAATGTAGACATGTTTGACATTTCTGGTTCAGAATATTCTGGGTACTTTCCCTCTGCTTTATCATTCATGGAGCTCCTAGAGGTCTCTGGATGTCTTTAGAAGCACCTTGATGCCAGGCTGTGATTCTCAGTCTGCCAATGCACAGCACCATATTATTCCCCTGATGGAGAAGCTGTATATCTCAAGGGGTGGGGATGGGAGCCAGCACTAAGCACAAAGGAATGACAAAGCAGCAGGTGTATTGGCAAAGCAACCACCACAAGATATTTTGGTGCAAATGTCTCTCAGAATCCATCCTTCCCAACCAATTGAGGTGCCTGGGTAAGACCACATCTTCTTTTAAGAGTGCATTCAACCAAAGATGAATCTAGGTTCCCAGGGAAGGAGAGAAGAGTTTCTGAATGAAGGAGAAATGTAAGGCAAAATGTATGACCCTTTGCATTTGTTTTCCAACCACATGTGCACAGCTCTGGCAATTTCCACAACCTGGAGAAAAAGGCAAGACAGGAACTCCACTAACTGCTCCTCAGCCCTGATAAAGTGCCTTTGTGTAGAGGAGAATATGGAGCTCTGTCCTTCGGAATGAGGCTAAGCAGAGGCCCTGCTCATGACAGGAGGAACATGCCAAGGAGAGACATCAGTAGCCCTTTCCGTCCCCACCCATCTCCATGCAGGGCGCTCTCCAACTCACTAGGCAGCAACAGCCGATACCGAGCAGCTTCTAGAAAGATTGGCCGAGGGGCAGCGCCTGCCCCCAGATTATTTAACATGCTCTTCCAGACTCCACAGTCCAGACAGATTCTGTTTGCAATGTGAGACTGGTTTCTCAAGGTCCCAGGGACTTGCCCTCGGCTCCACAGCCTTCTGACTCCCCAGCCTCTCCCATCTTAAGGACGTCCCTGATAGAATATTCTGACGCCACTGTGTCAGGGATGAAGGCTGGGAGGCAATGTGGAGTGACAGCGAGGGCTCTGAGCCAGGAGGCAGGAGA